AATATCCGAGCGAGCTGAGCGAACTCCTGACGACGAAGATGTTTCGGTAACAACACGAACTGACCGACGTACGACAAGACAGTGGTGCTGCGCTTGTTATACATGTTAGTGGTAATTTGACCTGCAGCCCCAGTCACCGCCAATAGAGCGCATCTTTTCGTATACTTCTGGAAGGGTCCGTCCCAGGAATCGTGATTTACCCCAGGTCCCAGCCACATCCCCAGGTATTTCACGCGGCCCTGGATGCTAAAGTCGGCCCAGTCGGGGATGTTCCTTTCAAGCCACCTCCGACAACGCTGAATCAACGGCTGGTCGATCGCGCCACCAAGCGGGACCAGGCAACACTTCGGGATCTTCAAAAAGAGGTGCGCGTACAGCTGCGCTTCCTCGAAAATCGCGCGCACGGGGCCCAGAAGCTGGATTCTCCTGAGGATCACGCCTATGTCGTCGGCGCAGGCACGGGCGCGTCCCTCATCAGGCCCATCAAGGACCGCTCTGAACTTCCTCAAGAAGGGGTCCAGGAGGATGGAGAAGATCAGCCCAGATGCAGGGCAGCCCTGGATTATTCCCCGCGCGACCCAGAAGAGCGGGGCGCGAGCGCCCCCAATGCAGCCCCAACAAAGGACGTTCTCATACAACATCAACAGGAAAACCTTCAATGGTTCAGGAATCCTGAGGGACATGACAACCGTTTTCACCCACTGCTGCGCCGCCGACGGGAAGGCCCGGCCAAAGTCGAAGAAGACACCAGCTGCGGAGCCTCCTGGGGACACAAGTCCGACTTCACGGGCGAAAGCGTCGAGCTCGACAATATTGCCTCCAAAGTTTCTTCCCGCGACAAATCCTTTTTGCGACATGTCCAAAAACTCAAGGACTCTCTCGCTGAGAGCTCGGCAGCACACGCTGGCAATAATCTCGTTGTCACTGCTTTTCAGGCCCAGGGGGCGGGTGTTTCCAGGTTCTCTCGCGATGAACGCGGCGTCCTGGGGGTCCTCACCTTTCGGAATGAAAACTCCCAACATGTCATTGAAATCCCACGATAGAGTCTTGCCCTCAAGCGTGTGAGACAAGCTATCGTACAGGACCTCCGCACCGTGCGGCGCGTTCACCCAGGCCGCGCAAGGCAAAAGATCAGGGCCGGGCGCAGGATGCTGGAGCCGACGAAGGCGCGCTTGCAGATCTTCAAACCGGGGCATCGGGAGCTCGAGCGCCTCGATCTGTACAGGGAACTGGTTGGGAAAGCCTGCAGCACCTTGTTCGTCAAACGGTGGGCTCGTAAAAACCTTCTCCCAGTGACCAGCCAACGCGCGGAGCATCTGCGGTGGTTCCGACAGCATAGGGCCGCCAGGTACTCTGACACCTGCAAGAGAGAGACGACGATCCAGAGGGGACCACAGCCTGGATACTTTCTGGAGCCTTCTGGCCCTCTCCCGAAGCTTTTGCTGCACCAGAGGGTTTCCATGAGCTCGAGCGGCGCCCTGGAGCTGAACTCGTTGTTTTCGGGCGACCTCGGAGTGCAAGTGGTTAGAAAGCTCAGTCAACAACTCGGGAGCCGAGAGAGAGACAGAGTTATTGGCGAAGTCAATCTGCAGGTGGTCTCTCGCAAGGTAGCGGCTCGCCTGCAGACGCTCAGCAAGGCGAACATCCCGACGAAAAACTGCACGCGCCGCGCTCCGAACGATCATGTACTTAGCTAGCGACGACGAAGGCCGACGAAGTATGATACTGTTACGAGCGAATCTAGCCCCAGCGATCATCAGCTCCTGATAGTAAAGATGTTTCTGCCAGGCCTCGAGATCGTCAATCGGAGCGAGCTGCACGGCCAGGCGCATGAAACGCTTGAATTCGGCAGTCTCGAACAGCAACTTCGGGATGGGCCTCTTTCCTTTGGGAGGAGGTCCTCGCGCCCTCAAGGTAACTGCAACCGCGCTGTTGTCCGAAATCTTCCTTGCCTGAAGGGTCTCGGGCCTATCCAGCACTTCCCCTCCCGTGGCATACTGGGTCACGACCCAACCAGGGGCCGATAAGAAAATGCGGCCAATGTAGGATAAGGTCTTTAGCCCGTGATGGTAGTGGGCGGGGTCCTCGATTTGGCATTCCGCGAAGCGTCCTAGGAGTTCACGCCAGCCAGCAGGGGCAGGAGCGGGAGGGGGGGGGGCCAGGACCACCAGGAGAAACACTATGATGCGGAATACAGCCAAAGTTAAAATCTCCAGCCATAATAACTAGCCTCTGTAGCGGATCAGCTTCAGCAAGAGTCAGATCATGACGAATGGCATCTAGTACGAAACGTTTATCAGCAGCACGAATGTTCTCATTGTGTATGTTGTAATGGGATACCCACACCGTGTTATCGACGGTAGCGAACTTGGCATTCAGGATTCTGCCAGGAACGAGGGGGGGAGGAGACTATTGGGCGGACCACGCCGCATCTAGCTAAGCGATCCTGAGAGGCAGAGATATTAGGAAAAGCGTCACCACCCCACCCGTGTGATGAGAGAGCGGCGAGAAGGAGGAGGAAAAAGAGAAGTCCTTCCTCAGATGATGAAGAAGGTCGCGCACCTCAGCTTCATTGCCGTGCACCTCCTGGACTGCAACGATGGCACCTTCCTGCCGCAACTTCCCCAGGTACCGATGCCTCCGCAGCCTGACCGTATTCTTGAAGTGTTGCAGTGAACTCGCATTCCACGTGACAACACGAAGGGGAACAGGATGGCGGCTGCTGCCGCTCATGAGCACATGCATCGTGCTAAAGACTCCACTGCGCATCCTCAGAGGCGCGGCCGAGCCGCTCCTTGATCCGTGGCTCGAGCACGGCTCTGTCGAAACCCGCCTCCGCCAGGTTCGCCGCGGCCCAGCGGATGACTGTCTCCTCATCGCCCTCCTGTGGGACCACCTGCAGCAGCGGCTTCCAGTTGATGGACACAATGTTTTTGATCCTGTCCGTGAACACCTTCTGCGTCGGGTAGCACGTGTTGAAGATGTGCTTGATCGTCTTGACCGCCTGCTCGGTTTTGATCTGCTTCGCGTTCTTGTCAAGACCCAGGAAGATCTCGGATCGACTGCCCGTGACCGACAGGCCTTCAAACTTCCGCCATTCAGCTCCAGCGGCCTGAGGACGAAGAGTGTCCAGTGCCTGCAAGACCTTTCTGCTCGCCCAGCCCGTAGCTCCACTGATGCGGAGCGCGAAGCGTCGGCTGGTGGGCCCCCCTTCCAAGTTCCACTCGTTCGCGGCCAAGTTCTGCTCCTGGATCCAAGGGCGGAGGACGTTCGCGACGGCGTCCATTGCCATCTGCTCCTCCGTGCGGACGATGATGATGGTGGCGTCGATCGCACGGTCCCAGTTGGCCGAGACCAAGGGTCGCGGCGGAACCGCCCCAGGCGACCTCGCAACGCCCAGCTCCGTCTTGAGGTACTTGATCTCACTCTCCATGGTGTCCAGGCGCTAAGCATGCTCGCGTTGGCCAGCCAGCACGGGTTTGAGACGTTGGTCGACATGAGACGCCAAACTTTGGCACGCTGCAACCACTTTCGGTTGCATGTTGTTGACTGTGGTCTGCAGCATGACGACCGACTCCTGGCACTTCGACACATCTGCCGTGAGGTCAGCACGTAGTTGCCCAACCATCGCTTGAAAACCGTCTCCGTTGTCTCCAGCGTCCACGAGGTGACAGGCCCCAGCTCCTGCACCTTCGACTGCTGCTTACGCTGCACGCTTTGCCATGACTCTTGATCAGCCTCGCCGTCAACTGTTCCCGCGACCCCGCGGATCAGCTGCCCTGGCGCCCACAGGCCGAGCACAAAGAACGTAAAAGTGAAGAGAGGGGGCGTGCGCGGGCGCGGGCCGCCCGTCTTGCCGCAATCCCGAGAGATGGCCACGGAAAGGGCCGAAAGCTAATCGCTGATTCTCGGGCGTCTATAGCCCTTCACAACGTTTAGCCTTGAGCCAAAATGGCTACGGACCTCCGCCTCTTCTTCCTCCTCCTCCTCCTACCTCTGGTCCCTCCCCCTCCTCTTCCTCCTCCTCCTCCTCTTCCGCCTCCTCCTTATCCTCCTTATCCTCCTGCTCCTCCTCCTCCGTTCTCCTCTTCCTTGTAAATAACTTCTCCCTGTCGCACCCCGAGACCAGTTTTTCGGGCGGTCCGGGCATTTCGCCTGAGGCTTCCTCACCATGTCTGACCCTGAAGCTTAGAAATTGACAACGGCTTCACAGACTGAGGGCGGGTCGTTTTCAAAATGTGGCTCTCGCTCTCGCCTTAGCACCGCGCACATTCGCTTCAAAAAAACTGAAAAAGTTCACGCATTGAGGGCGGGTGGTTTTCAAAATGAGGCTCTCCCCTGAGTGCCGCGCACATTGGTTTACAAAGTTTGCCAGAGCTTCACAGATTGTGGGCGGTGTCTGTTCAAAATGTGGCTCTCGCCTTAGCGCCACGCACACTCGCTTGTGAAATGTTCACGAGCTTCACCGACTCCCATGATGAGCGCACCCGAAATTTTGTGTTGGAAGGATTCAGGGTTATGTGGGTCAACAGTTGCGTTGATGCGCGGTGTTGAAGTCCCAGGAACGATCTTCGGGCACGATTCAAAATCGTCAAGACGCAACAGTGAAGTTGATCCGTTTCGTTGGAATCCCGACAACAAATTTTTGGGCATGCTTCAGGGTCTTCAAAAGGTTGTCGTCCAACGAGGCAGTTCCCTGTGGGTATGAACCGTTGTGGGGGCCTATGAGGAGGGATCTTGGAGGGAGGGTTTCTCCCAACATCGTTGATGACTCTTGGGTTTTCACTGGTCCTCCTCATCCTCCTCCTCCTCCTCCCACTCCTTCTCCTACCTCTGGTCCCTCCTCCTCCTCCTTTTCCTCCTCCTCCTCCTCCTCCTCCTCTTCCTTCTCCTCCCCCTCTTCCTCCTCCACCACACCGCACCCCCATCCTATCCCCCCCCCAGGGCGAGGACGCACGAGTGCTCGCGAAAGACGCGGGGTGGGCGTGCGGCGGGGCGTCCTCCCGTCGCCCACGGTGGCCTGGCCGGAAAGGGTCGGCCGAGCAGGAGAGCAAGAGAGCTCGGAGCCGCGTGCCTGCCCTGGGGAGGCCCTGATGACGGGCACTCGCGCGTTTCTCGCGCGCGGCCGTACCTGACGAAGGCACCTTACGGGGGTTGCCAGAGGTGCCTTCTGGCCCGACGTGCCCCCAGCCTTTCCCCCGACCTCGGAGCCCCCTGGGGCCTCCTGGGTCTCGTCGGGGCTCCCCGGCAATTCTGGGAGCACCCTGCGCCAGGGGCACTTCTGGCAACCCCCGAACTTCTCTCACAGCTTCTCCTCCTCCTCCCCCTCCTCCTCCTCCTCCTCCTCCTCCGCCTCCTCCTCCTCCTCCTCCTCCTCCTCCTCCTCCTCCTCCTCCTCCTCCTCCTCCTCCCCTCCTCCCCCCCCTCCTCCTCCCCCTCCTCCTCCGCCTCCTCCCCTCCTCCTCCTCCTCCTCCTCCTCCTCCTCCTCCTCCTTCTGGCAATGTCTTGTGTCTTCCGTTCCTCGCGGGGGGGGGAACGCGCAGCGGAGCGGAGCGGCGCCGGCCCCGGGGCCCCGAAGTGTTCCTGTGCCCCCGTGGGCAGGGCACGGAGGGGAGGGGAGACGAGCGGAAGGGGAAGGGGGAGGGGGAGGGGGA